ATGAAAAATCACATTTTGTTCGATATCTCGAAACGGTGTGGCTCTTTTGGAATGAAACTTTGCGCAAAATATTCTTTCATCAATGTGTTAATTTTGTCTCCTGTAGCAATCGATTACGTGCTGGGCCTGAAATCACCTCCTTATCCTGCTATACCCTTTGTAACAATTTCCGAGGAAAAGAATCGAAGTCCGTGGGTGTACAGTTGCACCAACGAGATACTATTAATGACCGTCTTTCCTAGGCAAATTTTCGACGGTATAAAAAGGGTCCCAAGGGCCCGGAGGTAATTGAAGAACGCTGACATTATCGACAATTGATATAAATTTGTTATTATTAACATAAATATTTGGTTCATATATTATTAAATTCATGATTTTTCATTACATAAATGTTCTATAAATAAATATGCATACTTGTAAAGCTATAATATCCTATATAATGCAGAAAAATTACAATTTTTTCTCTGTAGTTATCATCTCTTGAAAATTAAACTTTGACGATAACATTGAAATTATAATTTTAAAGAAAAATTGAGTACTATTGAATTCTAAACGCATAAATACGTCTACTAAATTAATAAATTAATAGAAAGATGTCGGTTTTTAATAGTATCTCGTCGGTGACAGTAGTAACAGTACGAGCAAACGAAGGGTTCAGTTTTATTCTGCGCATGCGTTGACTGTAAAACCAAGAATGTGATTGACTGTCATAGTCATGAAGGATAGAGACCAGCAGGAGACCAAACTTATATGACCGAGGCCGTCAAAAAGTGTCATCAAAAGTCATCTGAATTAGTTCGATCGAGATGTCGCTTCTTCGATACCGTTCTGACAGTTTGTATAGTAGGTTATGCTAAAGTCTCAAGAATACCAGAGTCTGGCCATCCTTCCATCCTCTCTTGTGATTGGCGTGTCCATACAATGGCAGTACGAATCAAGAACGCACATAAATTCACATCACCAATTGAACAAACACATATTTCGGAACAAACATGCACGCTATTTTTAGAGCCAGACTCTGGTTTTCTAGGGACTCTAGGTCATACCAGTTGAATGCTCCATTCTTTATGCAGTTTTAATGATAATTTACGTAAATTTACGTCTTGCTATTACTGTCAGAACATGATGTCAAAGAATAACGTTTCTATTCTTAGGTTATGTGTGTTGGGTGTGATGCGTAAGCTTATATAAGAGTTTTGCGATTCGAACGCCACCTACCGAGCGCCACCAATACCAATTCAGAAACCTGATTTTGAGAATACTTTTCAAAGATTAGTTCGGTCCCCTGATCTCTCTCCTCTATGATCATAACATTAAAACTGTGGCGACGACGATTGAGATACAATAAACTACGATTGAAAACTGAGTGAATATTGTGTATAATTACACATATTAAGATAAATAAAATAGGTGGAATCTCTTGAACTTTTGAGTATCGAATTGATTCTTATCCACTCTATTCTCTGAATCTAGAATAGAGAAATCATTATAGTCTAATTCTGTAATTTTGCACAAAAATTATTTTTTTTTTTTTCATTTTTACGGCAACTACTAAATTTCTCATTCGCTTTAAACGATTACCGTATGTGAATAATGCGTTAATTCTGGCTGAAATTTAATCTGGAAGGGTTTGAAAAGTGATAGTTTCCAGGTGTCATATCATCAAATGGATTGTGGCGTCTCATAAAGATTTACCAGACTTATCGAAACATCCTCATATTATTGTACAATAATTAAGTAAATACAATTTTTCGTTGTTTTATCGTTTTCTCTATTCCTATTCTATATCCTAGACAGCACAAATTTCGATACATGTCCAAAACTGGAGCATAAAATATCTTGAAGATTTATGTTGTGGCTATCTTAAAGAGATTTTAAAGACGTTTTATGTCCCAATTTTAAGTATTATGCTATCTGAAATAATCAATAAATTGTTGGCTTATAAATATCATGTTTCATATACTGTTTTATGATTTCATTTGGTTCATTCCAATATATTGAAATTAAAAACAAAAACAGATCTATATTAATGTATACAGTAATATATCTAAAATCATATATAGAATTTATCCGAATTTTAAAAATATTGTATATGCGAAATACTACAACTAGAGCACTATAATATTCGCATCCGCCATTTTTCTCTTCCCCATTCTTTGTTCTCTTCAATCTTCTTAGTTTAGTGGCGGAATGGAAAGAAAGAGCAAGGGATTGGGGAAAGAAGCAAGAGAATGAGAAAAGAACTAAAAATGGCGGATGCGAATACTTATATTATAGTGCCTTACTACAACGTCTCTTGATGCCGTTCAAATTCGGTCTGTAAAAATAGCTGGCAATTACGTGATCGGTGACCATCGACATTAAAGAAGCTGACAACTACTGTCGCTACTGTATGTAATTATACTATGATAAGGTGAAGTACTCCCATGAATGCACAGTAGAAGAGTGAATTTGACTATTCCAATATAACCAGCGCTATTATACGCAGAAAAGTGCATATTGAGGAAGATTTGATTATTTCCAGTATTGCTATCGCCATTATGCTCAATATTTCATCTTATATTCTTTCCACTATGATCGGCACCCTCCTATTCTGAGGATTTAGTACAGAGACAAATCACATCTACTTTTAAGAATATGATTTTATCGATAGTGTCAGAAAATGTTTGTAGTCACGCAGTTCACAAATTGAAAATGCATGTACTGACCAGTTATGTACAGCCAGTCACAGAAAGATTGCAACACTTTTTTTATGGGTTTCAGAATGCAGCTTGCTCACCGAGGAATTGGTTATTTATGATTCTTATTTATGGCCACAAATAAGAACGAATCGCTCGGTGAGTGATAATTGTCTTCAAAATTTTATAAATTATATTTCATTTTAATAAGCTGGAAAAGTGCAGAACAACACTGATTGGTTGCTTCAATGACGCATTCTCTATTTCGCAATCCTATTCCGCGCCGTATGATTTTACCTTTAGTGTCATACGGTTCGAAAAACGATTGAAAAATAGAGAATACGTCATAGAAGCAACCAATCAGCGTTATTCCGAATAGCGTTAAAATTGACAAAGCGGCTAGTCTGCTTGTTGAGCAAACGAGCATAATTGGATGTTACTTATAGATCCAACCAATCATATTCAATCGCTCGGTAAGCATGCTTAGCCGCTTTGTCTATCTGAACTCAACCAATGATGCATTCTTTATTCTGCAGCCTTTTTCTGCACCGTGTGATTTCACCCTACAGGAAGAGGGCTGGCACGTGGTCTGTTTTCTGTTTCTGCACTAAACTGCACTAGAAGTCTCTTTCTCGCTTTTGACAAATATCAAACTGTAGTGAATTGCTACATATAATAAACGTAGGTAATGAAGGAACTGAAATTCACAAATAACAACGTTTGTTTATTATCACATACAATATCTTATCGCGACAATGTAACTTGATGTCTCTCGTGTATTAGGTAGTTAAAAGAACGAAGAAGAAGAAGAAGGAATATCTAGATGGGAAATTCAGTATCGTGTTCGTGAGAGCGCGCCATCTGGTCGCGGAGTATGTGAGTCTAAACGAGTATAAGGCATAGTGAAGTATAACTGAAAGAGTGTGAGAATGTGTGTGTGTGTGTGTGTGTATGTGTGTGTGTGTCTCCACAAAACATATACCTATTTCACTTTAAGTTCCAAAAGTGTATACTGGTTTAGTCAACAGTTTAGAAAACAGATTTAAGGCCGCAGCACAGACTTTTACATAACGCATAATGCATAGTGCATAAGCGAATCAACTAATATCAGAATCTTTCCTTTCCTCCTATTTTATAGAAAAGAAGAATTTCGATTGGTTGATTTCCTTATGCACTATGCATTATGCTTTATGCAAGAGTCTGTGCTGCGGCTATTAGGGCCATTTTACACAACATAGCCGCCATATGCATAAAGAAAATTATGCAATCACATTTCTGTCATAAAGGCAAACGTAAAATACAATTGAATGATTTTCTTTATGCATATGTTTATGCAAGTTGTGTGGAATGGCCCTTATGGCCTCTCTCAGGTTTCTCTGCTATTTCCTCCATGCTCTGCTCATAGTACTGAATGCACCCGTTGATCATATAGGTAGTATGAGATTCAGGATTTTACAAGGCTTACGTAAGGATCAAATTTATTTCGTATTGGCTTTAGGAATAGGAAACGGTATTTACACTTGGAATTCTGTATTAAAGGAACATATAAAAGAATGTGAAAAAGAACTACAGCTAAATGAGGTAATCAGCGACATCGTACTTAATGATACGATTATAACCTGTACAATTATATTATCATATATTTCGCGATTATTTAATACAACGTTTGATTGGATCTCTGCGCGCGTGTGTGTATGTGTGTATGTGTGTGGGTGGGTTATAATTACAATTATCTGTGCATATTAATCATTATCAGTACTATTATCGATATATAATGTTAGTACTACTAGTATTAAGATTTTCTAAATAAATTCAAAAAAATAAAATTTGCATGTTAATAAAAAAAGAAAAAAATAATAAAAATATATTGCAAGGATTTTTATTATTTGTAATTCTTTTTTTAAAAAACTATCACTGCTTATTTTAAAAACAAATTTGATTATGGGTAAAGATTTTATAAATGATATTTTTCTTAAAATTTAACATTGTAATAAATTTTAGTTTGATAACGAGAAGCAAAAATCTGCTATTTAATAAGTTTAGTCAGTTGGGGCTTGTAGTGATTGGCGGTGCTTTTTCTGTAGTAGGTTTCACGTAAGTATATATTTTGCTCTATTTTTATGAAATATTAAACAAGAATGAAATAAGGATATATGATTAAAATGTAATGCATTTCCTTATGCAGAATTTTTATACAACCATGGTTCAAACGGCGGAAAGCAGCAAAAGCTGAGGAATTTGCAAATTTTATTTATGAGCAACGGAAGAAAAGAGCCTTAGAGTAGAGGAAAAGATTCAACTGGAGCTCACGATATAAACCTTCATCAGTTTGACCTTCATATGTTTCTTTATTAATACCTTATAATTTAAATAAACAGATCAAATATAAATATAGCATGGTACAATAGAATCTCTATCGTTCCAATAAAACTATTACATAATCTTATTGAGTGATCTCTTGTAACTTATTCTTGAAATTTGCTACCATAGAATGGAATATATCGCACCACTGCTTTCCAGTCTGTAAAGTACAACAGTGATAACCATGCACCAGTTCCATAAGCCACTGCAGTTGGAGTCCTAAAAGAATTATTTAATATCTTGAATAAAAGATATCAGATATTTAATGCAGCACAAAAAGATCATACTTATATCAAAATAAAACAATCTCTCTTGCTTTGATGTAAGAGAGAGAAAAATATATGAAAATTATAAAAATATAAAACTTTGTTATTATTTATTCCATGCAGTCATTTAATAGTTAGAAATAACATGAATGATTCAATACCATGGGCGTATTCAGGGAAGTGGTTTTGGGAATTCCCTCCCCTAAAATTTATTATTTCATTTTAGAATAATCCCGATAGCAATATGCACTCACATCGGTCGATGTCTAATAATTTTTCACTGCTTTACTAAAAAGAATATTTCATTAAATTAGCCAATTAGCGATATATTATATCAAATCCCTCTTTTCCATTTTTAATTGTAAAAACATACAACTTTACATTTGACTTTATGTAAATTTTTGCAGTCAAAATATTTTTTTCTTGTTATAAAACTATGTAAGTAATTTTTAAAACTTTTGATTCAAATGCATAACGCTATAATTGATATATTCAGTACAATTGCTCATGGAGCGCTTGGTGAACTCTTGCATCTACTTGGTCTATATTTTTATAATCATTTTTATAATTATTTTTATAATTATTTTATAATCATTTTTTCGAAAAAATATAGAATAAGAGGGAGAAAGCTTTACGTTATTTAGTATTCTTGTTTTGATCAAAATTTATATAAAGGTTATGTAATGTTCATAATAATAATAATATTAAAGAATTAAATATTATATTTGTAGTAGTTGTATTGCCTATACTTTAAAAAATAAAATAAAAGTTACATGATATACAAAACTTAACATTTTTCCTTTTCAAAATAAAATACAAGGAGATATTAAAAGCTGTAAAAGTATCCAAATGGAATTCATTACATTAAAAATTGTCGAAAATGTCACAACGAAATTGCTGTGATGTCCTTTACAGTGCAATTGCAAAATCCTATTTTTTTAGTTCTCATTCCGATTGATTCAGATACATCTGAGGAACATCCCTGGGTTGATAGAAAACCTCCCCCCCTCTTCCGAAAAAAATTCCACGATACGCCCATGTTCAATACTCTTTTGCACATTAAGACTACATCAAAGTTGGAATACCAAAAATACTGGACACTCACCATTTTGATGCTAATTCGAAGTTCTTTCGTGTTATTCGTAGAGGCATTTTTTTTTATATTGAATTTGCAGTAACAAATCTTTTATTTTTATGCCGAGGAAAATTCGGGGTACTTTAGAAGTATAGAGAATAGAAAACGAGAGATAAGTCTGCACAAAATACGAAGTTATCTAGTTCAGAAACATGATGTCAAGCATGGAGTATACAGAATAAGAGATCAAATTAGACTTAAAAAGTGTGGTCAAAATCAGATTTCTGAACTGGTATTAGTGCTTGGTAGGCAACGTTCGAATTGCAAAGCTCCTCTCATGTAGGCTTATAAGGGCTGCCACACACAAATTTCCGTAACAATATGTGTAAGGTGTAAACTTACGCTGATGAGCCAATCAGGATATTGCTTTAGATTACGTAATTTAACAGAAATGGAAATAACAGTAAACTTATCCATAAACTCGAAATAAAATGAAATTCGACCGGTTGAAATTTCGACCTTATGAATAAGTTTACTGCTATTTCTATTTCCGTTAGAGTACATAGATCTAAAGCAATATCCTGATTGACTCATCGGCTTAAGTTCACGTCTTACGGTTACTATTACAGAAATTTTGTGTATGGCAGTCCTTAGAGTATATCCACACAACTTGCATAGCCGCGTACACGTATACATAAAGAGAATTATCTAATCACATTTTACGTGCGTCTTTAGAGGAGAAATTGGATAATGCAATTGGATAATTTTCTTTATGCATACGCTTATGTGGCTATACAAATTTATGTGGATGTACCCTTACGCACACACAACCTTACAGCATATAGACATGGAGGAAACATTGCCTATATCTCCTATGGCCCACACACACGTGTGTTCCTTTGACTATATAATCATAAACTGCCAGTAGTCTCATTCCACCATCCCTCTCGCCCGTAAGGTTATCTAATATGAAGTTAGCTTCTGTGTGGCAAATTACGGAAAATTTAAAGGCTATAAAAAGGATGTAAGAATTAGACGGGTGGTTGTTAATAAATATTGTACCAAAATATACAAAATAATTAATGTAATTTTTATTGTCCTTGAAATATTGTCAGCCTTGACCCATTCTTCACGTAATTCTTGACAACTTGGAAATCTATATAAGAGAATGATGATTTAGTGCAGTGCGGATAAAACAAAGAATAAAAGAATGATTGTATATCTTGAATAAGTATGTATATATATCTTATTTATTTTTAATTCTATTTTCATGGAAAGCTTTATTATAACTACAATAACGCGTTGTTGTGTACTTATACAATTTGTGTACAATGTTAGAAAGTATAACTTTCACATACCCATAAAACTCCAGGCTAGTCACTTATTTTATCTTTTTTACAGTATTTCTTTGATGTGCAAACTTCCACAAAACAATATAGCATCGTTTTTTAAAAATTACAATTATTTTTTTAAAGGATTCTACTGCCAGAAAGTTTCTATAGCAGCTATTTTTGTTGTTGCCAACTGTCGCTTTGCCACACGGCGTCGCCACAGATCTTAACTATCAACGAAGTTGGCGTCAACCGTCCACGATTATATAGTCCATAGAGTATAGAGAATAGGAGGCCGAACTTACATGGACAAGGCTGTCAAAAAGCATAATAAAAAATGGTTATCTGAAGTTAGTATCATCTTAGTTCGATTGAGATGACGCTTTCGTTCCACGATACTGTTCTCGCAGTTTGCATGGTAGATCATATCAATTTTACATGTTACGTTCCATTCTTCATGCAGTTTTAATGACAATTTATATAAATTTACGTCTTCCTGTTATTGTCAAAGCATGATGTCAAAGAATAAAATCTCCATTTTTAGATTATGTGTGTTTGATTGTGTGTAAGCGTAAGAAGAGTTTTGCGATTTGAATGCCTACCATATGAGGACCACCAATATCAATTCAGAAACCTGATTTTGACAACACTTTCCAAATCCTAGTTCGGTCTCCTTAGTCTCTGTCCTCCATGATGACTACATACATTTTCTGACACTATCGTGATACGATAAAATCGTATCGTCAAAAGTAGATGTGATTGGTCTTTGTGCTAAATCCTCAGGATAGAAGCGTACCGACTATCCATAGAAAAGATACGTCGGCACGCTTCTATCCTAAGGATTTAGTACAAAGACGAAACACATCTATGTACATACTTTCGACAATACGATTTTATTGATAGTGTCAGAAAATGTATGTAGTCACACAAACTGAAAATAAATGTACTGGCGATAGTGTACGGGCGATTTCGATGATAACAAGAAAAAGGCCGGCATAGCTCTTTTCAGGTTTCTCTCTGATATGATCATGAAGTATACAGAATAGATGTTCGAACTTCGAACTTACATGGACGAGGCTGTCAAAAAGCGTGGTCAAAAGTGATCACCTGAATTAGTTCAATCGAGATGTTGCTTTGGTTCGACATCGTTTTCCCAGTTTGCATGATAGATCATACTAATTTTACATGAAGAATGCTCCATTCTTCATGCAGTTTTAATGACAATTTTCCTGTTACTGTCAAAGAATAACGTTTCTATTTTTAGGTTATATTCGGTTGTACGTGCGTAAACGTATATGAGAGAAGTTTTGCGATTCGAACGCCGCCGAGCACCACCAATACCAATTCAGAAACCTGATTTTGATCACACTTTTTAAAACTTAGATCGGTATTTATAGTCATATCTTATATTCAACCCGTTCTAAGTACGGTCTTAAGAAGTCTTGAACCAATCAGAAGGCTGCATTAGTGTCTTAAGACATTACTTAAGACGGTCTTGAAATAAGACTCGACTATGAATACCGGCCTTAGTTCGGTCTCCTATTCTTTATACTCCATGGATATGATCTACCATGCAAACTGCTAGCAATGTTGTTAGAAGGGCCGAATTTCAGACGCATGTGCGTCCAATATAGCTTTAGTAATGTACCAGTCATTTATGTAAAATTTTTTCAAATTTTTTAAATAA